GCCGAAGTTCATCTCGAAGAGTTGTTTCAATCGACGTTACCATATACATGCGCGAGTGAGTTTCCAATCACCTTTGCATTCATTTTTAGCAGATTTAAGTAGTTTACTTCTTCTAAAACTCATCCGATCCAAATAACGATATAAGGATGGCAACTAACATCAATCACAGAAGACATTTTGAAAAAAGCACAGAAAATATCACGAAAATGATAAAATAAACGGAAATTTCGATAACAATTTATCATCGACCCGAGAATACATCAATAACGCGCACTATCGAGGGCGCGACACTCTGCGGCCGGCGGACACACGCGCGATCTCCCCGACATCCATCAACAGTGTCAGAGGGAACGGCTGTGATGTATAATACATTTGACAGCTGATCTGTTGTTGCTACTCTACATAGAGTTGATAGAGAACGGTACTGTGCGGTGCCGTACCGTGTGCATGCCTTGTGTCGCGGGCAACCATCTTGCATCGGAGACAGTCATATAGTTGATAGTATGATTTGTTATCGATAAAATTAGGCGAGACACCAATCGTTGCGGGATTAGGACTATTCACAAGTACTTGGAATTGGAATCGGAATTGGAAGTACCAATCTCGCATCTTCTCGTGAACAAACCATGGCCATGCCCATGACAAGATCTTCGTTCGGAGCAACATTACATCAACGTGGTGTTGATGTTATTTGCAATATTTTTTCGGAACAGTTGGCTGGCGGCCGCCCGGACCCCTGAACATTCCGCACTTTACAAAATAAACTGGATACTGGAATAGTGATCAAGAAATGAATTAAGATTACTGTTTAGTTGACTCGGTTTCCCTTCTCAAAGTAAATAAGATAACTAAGGCTGGGTTCACACGCATTGTCCTGCACGTTTTCCTTGTGTTCGTTATTTTAACGAACAATCACTCGAGGGCTCATACGGTAGAGTTTCATTCGTGTAAAAACGAACACGTGAACGGGACAGAGCTATACTATGCGCCACTGACGACGTTATAGTTCTTTCGATTTGCTGACAAGTCCGTTGAGTATTTGTTTAATCGCATAAGCGGTGTACGATTTTTTGTACAATGTGTCATTCGTTAAGACGTATACTGCAAATAAAACGAGTAGGACAATGCCGTGCGAACAAAACCTAATCAAATAAGTCGCCCCCGAACTGGTTCCTCCCAGTCCCGTGTCTTGTTCTAACGTTAATTCTAACGCGAACGTTAAGTATTGTTCGTTAAGTATTCAGCGGGCGGCTCCCTAATGAACAGCTGTTGCTTCAACACACCATTCATCAACGTTCTAATATGTACTCTACAATAATTGTGTTAAGTTCTAATTTAAAACGACGGAGGCGACGTCTGCTCGCTTAATTTGTCTTCGTGTCTTTGAACATGTCGGACGCGGCGGCGGTTCACTTGCTTTATCATTGCACGAGCAATGCGGACTCCAATGAAGCGTTTTGAATTTTGACAATAAATCGTTCAATAATTTTGCGAAATTCTACTTTCATAAGAATTATTTATTAATTTTATTTCACGGATCAGGAAAGTAATTAAACCACCCTGTATTCTAATGTATTCCTACATAAATATATAAATATATAATTCTATATTGAATTTTTTTTTAACTTTTTAATTTTATTACAAATTAAAACCTACTAAACCTAAAAGTTGTTACAATATCACTTAAACGGTTTATTTTATTTTAAGTTCGAGCGCTCTTAATGGAAAACCCTTTCTTACTCTGTCAATAAAGTATCGGGAAAAGATCAATAAGACATAAAATGTTAGCAAAATGTAATTCATCCAAATTTATTTTACCACCTTCAAAGTACGCTCGTTCAGAAACGACACACTTAGGCAGACGAATAATAGAATCATCAAAATATTTTGTAAACCCTTTTTCTGGAACTGAGTTCAGCTTTCGCCGCGAATTATCCTTTACGTCTTCTACCGAATGAAGACGTGTGCCGCGACATGGTAATTTAAGTTTAGGAAAAAGAAAGGAGTCATACCTGGTGGACAAGGAAGATGCTCGATGGTATTTGTTGAGTATTTTGTAAATTATTCGTTCAGAATGATGACGTTGTGCGGAGGAGCATGTTCGTGGTGCAAGTTCAAGAATTTTCTTACTACAAATTTGGCCTTTTTCGTTGAATTTGTTTTCTTGAATGGCGCATAACGCTGAAATGATATTTTTTATTTACCATTTCAACTTACGGCATGAATTTTGGGTGCACAACACCGCGATAATCAAAGAAAACAGCTAACATTACTTTGACTTTTGTTCTTTTTTTTTTTGATTGTTTTGATGAGAGGAGGAGTACACGGACTAGTTGGTGTTAAGTGGTTATCAAAGCTCACAGACATCTACAACGTAAATGCCGCCACCCTCCTCGAGGTATGATTTCTAAGGTCTCAGTTTAAGCAGTACAACGGCTGCCCCACCCTTCAAACTGAAACGCATTACTGCTTCACGGCAGAAATAGGCAGGGCGGTGGTACCTACCCGTGTGGACTCACAAGAGGTCCTACCACCAGTAATTACGCAAATTATAGTTTTGCGGGTTTGGTTTTTATTACACGATGTTATTCCTTGGCCGCTTCCTTCATGAAACAAAAAAAATGAGGCCAAATCTCTATCCACATACATCCATATTGGGTACCCAGACACCTAACGCTCGTACTGCTAGCGCGGCCCCGCTGGTCCCTGAATGTTCATTTATGTTTTTTAATTTAGACAAAACCTTCTCGGTGAATCGAATTGAACCTTATGTTTTGAGAAATAGAAAGCCGATGCTGGAGAAGTGATACAACGAAGTACAAACAATAAACTAGTTTCTTCGTCAAACGACTCTTCATAACAAACGAGCGCAACTATACGCCCACCTCGCTTTCGTCAAAACAGATTTCAGCTTTAAGTTTCCAAGTTATCTTTCATCTGCGAAGAAAATCCATTAATTACACGAGCACGGGCTGATCTTCAGCGCCGCCTTCCCGGCTGTCTGCCGGCTGCTTATGAATATATTCGGGGGGGAGACGGTGGGGAGGGCGGGGAGGAGCAATAGGCCCGTGCATCGTTTGTGCATCACTGTAATCTTATAAACTGACTAGCTGTACCCGTCCGCTTCGCTGGGAATTAATAATTAACATTATTATTTCTCACCCCACAAAGATTCTCATCATTAACGCCCCCGCAACTAGTTTAGGGAGTCCATCACTCATATAAATATTAGCCTATCCATTAAGTACATGTATTTTCTACATGGATACCAAGTTTCAAGTCAATCGGATGCATGGTTCATTAGTTACAACGGAACATCCATAAAAACCACTGTAGATTTATATGATACAATATATGAGAACTGTGACGTCACCAGTGCCGTTACGAGTAAACTTTTATTTTCGTCTCAGCATCTCATAGACAGACTACTGTGGGAAAACAGACCCAGTAGTTTCCAAGAGCCTGATTAGTTACGTAAGGGCCCGGAACGAGGTGTAGAGGCGCGCAACCATCGCGGGATCTAGTTGAAAGTGTGCTGCGTGGATGTAGGAGCGACGCAATACATATCGCATTCATTGTGGCCACTGATTGAGCAGGCGTGGCCGGGTGCCGGCTACCGGTCGACATGACTCTTCTGTTTACGTTGTCATTGTTTCAAACTATCGTGGTTGTGTACACACACGCACGCGCACACACACACACACACACACACACACACACACACACACAAACCCGCCCCTCCCTTGCACGGCCCTTACAAACATTGGGGACTCATTAAATACGAACATCTCGGTAGTGTGTGTTTCGTTCTCATGCCCCAAGGTCTTCCAGTATTCACCCAGCGACACGTGAGCCATGAGCCGCCTGCCCGTTTCCGTCGATAACAATGCTCTCCTGGTGATTTGACAACAAACATAGCCACTTATCTCACAACTACCGCCGACAAACACAACGAGCACGCAACAATAACAATGTGTCGAGGGAAACGGACAACGCACTCTATTATTGTTATTTTAAGAGTAGGGAGTGGGTGGAGTCCTGAGGGGAGAATAAGCTACGTTTCAGTTCGGTTGCGGTCCGTGGGCGAACCAAGATATTTTAAGCATTGGGCTCCGTTAGGGACTTCAACAGCTCATTGAATCAGTCATCGCTGGGCCTCGCCAGTTTATCCAGGAGGTCGCGTGGGGCGTCACGGTGGAGTCGATGTGGTGGACCGCTGGCACCGTAAGTCTTTGGGGTTGTAAAGCTTTTGAATTTCCTCATATATAAAATTGGCTTCATAATTTCGGTTTAAAGGCGGCAGCTCTTATACGGTCAGATTGAGAGGTCGACCTCACGTCTCAAGACGGCTCTGGCCACCGCCGAAGACCATGTCGATAATGTGTTGACTCACTCGTTTGTTCCAGTTAGCTCGAGCTCGAGGATAAGTTAGATATATTTTCTGAATAACACAAACTCCCTAATGATACCGGTCTTGTTATATGTAATTCTTTTTGAATATCTCTGAATACAATAGCGACACAACAGCCGCGCGACACAATAGCGGCCCGCTGCTGCCCACCGCGTCGCGTCGGGTCGCGGGAATACGCATGACGTCTCGTATTGGCTGCTGCTCTTTAAAGGGAACAGCCGATTTCTTCGCAGTAATGACTTCTGCAGAGTTCGCGTCGTAGACTAATAAAACTAGTTGAACGGTTCAATCTCGCGAGATCATTAGTTATATGAAATCAAGTAGACGGTGGACAGCGCAGCATACAGACGTGAAGGAGGAGCACGCCAGGCGCGCGCGGCTGCCGACACCGTGCACTGTTACAAACCTAAACGTAACGTAAACAATACAACAACGAAAAAGGCACCCCAGATTAAACAGTAAATGTAGCTTTAATGATGACTTCTAGAACTATGAACGAGCCCTACCCCCGTGGCGGCGTTGGGTCATCCCAAGCTATTTCGTAAGGTTTTTCCGACCTTAATAACGCAGTTCTGATACATTGTTTCAGGTATAAGTCATCGCTGAGAATCAGAAGAAGTCTCAAGATAAATCGGTAAGTCTACTAGATAAAATCGACCATTTACGAATGTGTGTGTTTTGAATGTGTTCTAGCATATTGCTCTTATTCAAACCAAAAATAATTTACATTTTATTAAAGTAAGGACATAAATGAGCGAGTCCTTTTGTCAAGCTCAAAACACAAACATTGTTAATCAATTCATTTATTACAATTATAAATCCAGTGCAAATGTGGGTGGATTGTCTTTTAAGAAAAATGTTTGGGTCATGAATTATCACGTCTTTCGCGTGAAAAGTGGCCTACATTTCTGTGAAAGCCAAGAGTCACACAATGCTTCTTATAACACTGGATGGCAATCAAGAACAGAGTCCATTAGCATCACAGAGCTGATTTTTTTACGTTTTATTTTGGCGAGAGAAGCTCATTAAGAAATGTCGATCGCAACACACAACACAGAGACACAGACACACCTTTTTAAATACAAATAAGTGAAGCAGGGGTCGCGTCGTCACCGAGTTGTTTGTGTGAATATTCGTGAACCCCCCCCCTCCCCGCCCCGCGTCCTGCAGCAGACCAGCGCCGAGCTGCTGTTTAATTATTCGCGCGGTCTCTCAGTCCCTGGACGAGCCACGAGCTCTTGCAAAAACGATCAAACTCTCGTCCAAAAGTTAAAGCCATAAATGTTTATCATTGGTTTTTGTCTCATCGAGGATATTGTTAACTGTTTAATACGAGTACAGCGAGCTACAACGAAGCCTCTCCTAACGAATTCAATTAAATAAAAAACCCCTTCGTTCATAGTTACTTTGAGTCTATAGCCGGAAGTGAACGAGCGAGCTGACGATATATCCGGCGCCGAGCGTGTGTCGGGACCGACACCGACGCACGTGTTAACCCCGCCCGGAGGCTAGCGGTAGGCAGCAGGCTGACTGCCCCTGGCATTGCTGACGTCCATAGGCGACGGTAACCACTCACCATCAGGTGAACCATAAGCTCGTCTGCCTACAAGGGCAATAAAAAAACGCTCCCGTGTAGACTCCCCGAGATAATACTAAAACAGGAATTTAGTATTAACTGATATCTTTACCTTTTGATTGCACGCACGGTGATCTCACAACAAGGTATTTTTTATTTTGCGATTGCGATGTTTATTTTCAGTTGAGTTCGACAAATTCACGGGAAGTTATATAAATCACTAGCTTTTGCCCGCGACTTCGTCCGCGTGGAATAGTTACTTTGGCATAACGCTAACTTTTACCCGCCCCTTCATTTATGTAGAAAGTTAAAATATTTTTGAATAATAGACAATGTCAAGGAGCTATTTATGGTACCAAAATCACGCTTTTTAGCCGACTTCAAAAGAGAAAGTTATCAATTCGACCATAATTTTTTATCTATTTCTTCACCGATTTCTCGAGAATGCTTGAACCGATTCTGATAATTCTTTTTTCTATTTTTTGTTCGAAAGGGTAGACTTCCCGAATTATCCTGTAATCATCAAGATTTGATGACGGGATCCTGGAGAAATCCAGGAAAATCTATAATTGTCAAAGCCTATCTTGAAGTGATTTGGGCGTTTCAATGTTGTAATGAATAACGTATTTGTTTGGATAGGGATTAATATAATCTTTATAAAAACACCTTCACAAATAATGCTTTATTTTAGAACAAATTTGGTTAGCATAAAAAACGTTATAGTGAGCCAACCTTTAAATATAGACATATGCTGTCGCGGACTTTTTTTAGAACTTTTAAAGGGGAACAATTTTGTCATACATTATTTTAGCGTAACTTTAACCGTTTCCGCAGCGCACGCAGCGGAAGCTCTCAAAAGGTTAAAATACCCCAATTTTGAAACATTCTTTATTGGTGCTCTGCTTGCATTGGTCGTACCGTGATGTTATATAGCCTTCCTCAATAAATGGGCTGAAAGAATTTCTCAAATCGGACCAGTAGCTCCTGAGATTAACGCGTTCAAACAAACAAACTCGTCAGCTTTATAATATTAGTATAGATATAGATTCACATTGAACACAATGAATTGTCTGTCCTCGTGTAGCAATCTCTCCGCAGACATTTCCCAGACACTCTGTAGACACTCCGCAAACACTCCGCAAACACTCCTTGTGACTACCCTCTATTTACATATTTGTTCTAAAAATTATGATCTACTAGAAACATCTAATTATTGTATATTCTAATAGTACTCGTAAGATATGAGAAAACTTATAAAGAGAAAAAAGGGAAACGATCAAGTATCAGTGTGTACTGAGAACTTTTTGTGGTGAATTGCACGCGTTTCGATCTGGTTGTGACGCGGTGTGGCGCACACCAGCTGCTCGGCACCGCGGCCTCTCCTCGCGATACTACGTCCATCGATCGATCGTTGCCAAGTGTAAGATACTTCTTACAACATTACGAGCTCTCACGGCTTGCTAAATTTTCCTATTGCGGTCATCAAACTGTCGAAATAAGTTCTGCCCAGAGAGAGGCTGTTTGACCCAAGCTTTGTGTTGTGGTCGCGAGACTCTGCTCCAAATTCCGGAGCTTTTTAATGCGCTCTTCCACAGACGTGTGGCCGGGTCCGTGAGCTCATGGGCTCAACCTGGGAAGAGTTGCTAAGATTGTCCCCAGCAACCAGTGCTTCCTGAATCTACCACCGGATCGAAATCGCGATCCGCTGAGAAGATCTGGCGAGAAACTCAGTGGGCTATGTCTATGGGTTAGTTCGCTCGATTATTATGTATAACCCATTATGAAAACGACTAATGAACAGACACGGCTTCGTTATAGTTTTATTATATGTGCAGACTAGATATTCGTAGATATCCTCGCTGCTTCCCGTGGACGAAGACCAATGCTTGACGGTGCAATGAAAGGTTGGCATTAATTCTCAGGACGCAAACTAATCCCATGCCGATGGCATAGACATGAAAACTTAACCGATGAACAGAACTATTTTCGTAATAACAATATTATCAATTGACAAGTAACTTCATAATAATTTGTATTGAATTTCATGAAGTTTTATTTAACATTATACAAATAAACTGCAAAAATCTGTAGTATAATTGTTTTTGGAAGCATTAGATCTTAACGTAATAAAACCTACACTAGGCTACTCTACTTGTGAAAACCAATCAAATGAGTCAATAGCACTACACTAACTGTTGCTATACAGACAGACAGACAGGTACTTAATGTTTAGACTAAAGGTCGCGGTCACCAGCGTTTTTAGCTCTGGCAAATTATCAGTCAGACATTTATGGAATTGAAAACTTATCGCGTTCATTAATCCAAGCTACCCAAGGTACGCGACGAGGGCTAACAGTCAAACGCGCTCCCTCCCCCCGCCCGACCCGCCTCACCCCCTCGGCGACCTTGTTTACAATGTAACGTAAATATTGTTCAGTAAACATTCATTAATATAATCACATTTTGAAATTAAACCGCTCTTTGGACACCAACATTACATTTGTTCGTATTCAATCGGAAGTACGTAGGGGAACATCGGACAAATATCAAGGGACGCTCTTTTGAACGCAACGACTTTATTAAATTAAAAATGGGCAATTATGTGTCGAGCTACGCGTGGTGGACGGTTCAGAGTTCCGTAGTTGAAATAAACATTATCACAATTAAAATGTGAACTGTAAATAATTTCACTTAATCCAATTCTTATTAAAAAAAGATGACGAAGGAGTCAAGAAGCCGCGCCGACAACTGTTACACTTGGCATTCAGATGTCAGGGGGCAGGCTGCAGACATGATTATTTGCTGTTCAGGTAGACGGTGCCACAAACAGCGGCCGGATGAGCCTGCGCGGCTCCCTTCTAAAGTGTAACGACGAGGCTGCGCGGAGAGACACAGCATATATTCATAATTAAAACCTCGTTTTGTAGTTAACTCAACATCACAAGCAATATAAATTAAATAGGGTTCGTTAAGCATTACGTGCATTCCATTCGTCGCATTACAGTGGCTCACCCAGAAGACTTAACTGTATGTAGTGAAATATTAATATGAACTTAGTCAAACGAAGATGTTGATGTGAAGAGCGCCGGCCGGGGCGCACATTGTCGTCTGTAATTAAAGAGCCGAGGCACCCGTCCGCGTCATGTACAAGTTTAGTTAAGTCTTAGAATAACATTTCAGAAGCACTTTCTGCTACCGGACTGCTACCTGGTGAAGTAACGAGACTCCCCGGAACGCACCCTGGAACACCTAATTGCTTAATGAGTCTATTTAATAATTTTAAGAGACGCGCAGTCCTCTGTAAGTATTGCGTGAATTTTCCCGTCGATACCAAGTGGCTGGTGGACGATGGTCGATAATGTTATATCCTCCACGTGACCAGTCGACAGCCCTTCTATATATTCAGTGTATATGTATATATGTACATTAGAATTTTTTTCTGTAATGACACACGCGAGGATCGGTACAGCTAACGCGTTCTATCGAATAGTAAGTATTTCTGATTTAGACATGTTCAATTACAAGTACATTACAATTACTTAACAATAAATCAACAAACAAAATTTATTTCCTCATAGCGGTTTTGTTTTCCACTATATTCCATATTCCCGTGATGACCATAAATCAAGACGACTGTGTGGCAGGACTCCGCCTCTCACGCCGCGGCGCCGTCACCCTGACACTATCTGACAAGGTGCAAGTAAACAAATTTTGTTTTGGGCATACAGATTAGACGCTCTGTACAAACCGGCATTGTTATTGTCTGCTGGCCGCCAGTAGATGCTTCCATATTTAATTCACTTCAATGCCTGTATGCGTTACAATAATGGAATGGATGTCATTAGCCGGAGTGTAAGTAGTCTCAGTGACGTTGCAGAGTATAGCGATATATCGCGGCATCGGTGCGATAGTGAATCAACTCTCGAGCACGATGTATATTTGTGAATGATAATTTAAAAGGTGCCCCAGTGCAAGTGCAGTGCGGGCACTTCTTGATGACATCGACTCACGATATTGCGAATACGTTGAAAGCTCTGCCCTCCTCCGAGACAGAAGGG